TGTGTAGTTTCTGAAAATTGGTACAAACAAATATTTTTTTGCAGAAAAGTCCCATTTTTAGAAAATTTTGGCCCGTTTGACCTTGAAATAAAGATCAAAAGTCAAATCTCAGGGTATATTTGGAATCTCCACATATGACTTTCGGTCGGACTTCTGTAGTAATTTTTCCCATAATTCCTTCGGTTTGGGAGATATTTAGCATTGAATTTTCCAAAATTTTGACAAGGGTGTGTTTCAACGAGTGTCACGCCCAGGCCAAAGCACCGACTGAGACAAAAATACCAGGGGATTCAAGTTGAGATTATATGTGACCTAAATCCAAGAGATGGGGACACAGGTCCTTGCGGTCTAGGAGGAGAAGCGGTAACGGCGACTTGTATCCCACAACACCCTGCGGAGCCAACGGAGCCGGCGGAGCTCACGGAGCCGTACGAGATGGGTCGGGACTAAAACCATGAGTACCGTCAGGGTACACGCTGGTGGTACTAATTACCCCCAAACAGCTTTACTAGGCTTGACAGACATTTAAGTCAATCAAGTTGACAGCAATTTAGTAAGACTCCCCAGAAGATATATCGATCCAAATTTCTGTGGGAATGGTCCCTTATAGTTGAGTTTTTTAAAGTGGGGTTTTTGAATCCCTATAACTCCTATTATACATATCTAGTGGGTAACAATTTAGTGTATGTCCTTGAGCATTTTGAGAAAAAACAAAATCTTGTGGTTGAAACCCAAAAATGTTATGGAAAATGACATCCATCCTGGATTTTCTCAAAATGCCAAAGATACATCACAGTAAATTTTTTTTTCAAGACAACCAATATCAAAATGAACCAAATCAATAACAAACAAGGAAAAATATTTTCACTAGAATTACAGTCTGGTCTAATTAGCAATCCAAGAATTAAATACTGCACATTACACTTACATCATCACCACTTCCGTTTTTAAGGTCAACCAAATATAGGTCCAGGTCAGAGCTGTAGGCACTGGACAGTCCACACATTGTGGATCCAAATGGCTGTACAGCCAGGTGTGGAAAGAACTTCTCTAACAAGTGTTGCATCTGGCCTCTCACAAAGCACCTTTTCAATATGTCAGTGTCCTGAACCTTCAAGGAGTTGTAAAGTAAATCTATCTGCCCTGTGATCTGGAAGAGGTGGGATCAGAATCAAGCTTAAACATGTCTACACTGAAAACAATGTTGAGACTGACGATGTCAGCATTAATTTATGTAATATGACTGACCATCCAATGTGCTCAATAAGACACCAAAGAGTTCTTTGTGAATACGTGTATATTTCACCACACATAATTGAAACTTGATAAGTTTTAGAACAGCACATCTGCCACAACGGCCTGAAAGATCAATTATTGGGATTCTAATTTCTGTTTATACATTTAAGACTTTTCTTGTGGTTAAAGTTGAGGATTCAGACATGCTCCATAACACAATGGCCTGTTCATTCACATGCTCAGGGCTACATGTGCTAATGTGCATGTATTATTAGTGCATGTCTCACTTTGCAATGACCTTTAGGTTCAAATAAAATCTCACTGAAGCCTCTCTCTCTCTTCTCATCTTTCAAACTTTTCTCTTTTTTCTAAGTTGGCTTAGAGCACACACACACACACACGCACATATTTGTTCACATACCCCATCTTTGGCAAAATGTAAGTCATTATAGACTTTCTCCATAGGTTTCTTCTTTTGTGGTCTTAGTTCTTCATGCACTTCTCCCACTGGCAACCCACTAAGATATTTTTCAGGTAGGAAAATTTGTTGTCTAAATTGACAAAAAAAAAAAGGTAAAATCAGTATTTCTAGACCTACAGTCCCTTTACACAATATACAATCACAAACAAACATACTCACACCATATTTACCTAGACACTAAAGAATCACAGGTGATACCGCCTCAGGGTATTGTGCAATTGTACCACCAGCTGGAAAAGTTCATTAGTGGTAAAAAGTAGGTCAAAGGTCAATTTCAAGGTCACAGTTAGGTTGCCAGCATATGACTTCCTATTCAAATTCAATAGTAACTATTAATAGTTATTTCACATTTCATTTTCAGTTCTAAATATTGCGATGTTGTACTCTTTGATATACCACAACTCGTAAACCATACAAAAAAAAAAAAAAAAAAAAAAGGAAACCACTTCCAATGCAAGAAACAAAAGGTCTCTAGCACTTATGGTTCCAGAATTAGAAAGATCTAATAAATGATTTTCATGTTTTAATTAAATGAATGTGGCACACCTAATGCCTTTATGTATTGAATCAGTTAACTATGGTAGGCTCACAGTGTACCTTTGCATTCAGGTACAGCAAAACGTGATATTTTTCTTTACATTTTTTGTCCACCTATTAAGTCACCTCCTAATATAACGTTAAAAATACAACATATCAGTGTGATAATAAACCTTGAGAATGTTGCCTAGCATGTGGTTTTTCCAGTTACTCACTTTGGTATCTATGTAATTGTTTATTTAATAATATAAGTTTATTTTACGTGGAACGAGTTGAGATTATAGGTGACCTAAATCCAAGAGATGGGTACGGGGGCCCTTACCGTCTAGGAGGAGAAGCGGTAACGGTAGCCGTCCGGCGGAGCCGGCAGAGCCGCAGGAGCCGGCGGAACGATCCGGACGAGACAAAAACCATATCAGTTAAATTCACGTGTCACAAATCTAAAAAAATATCAGTATTTCCTGATCAGTAACAGGGTGTCTGGCAGCCATTCTGGAAATTTTAGGAATTTTTTTAGGAATTTTCAAGAAAAATAAGGATTTTTTAGCAATCAAAAAGTGCTATAATGGGTGTATTTGACTTATGAATTAGGTTCGAGGTGATTTTAAGAACAAAATGTGATGCATACAGGTCTCTTCTTAAACTAGAGGATCAGAGAGGCGATACCGCCTTCAGGTATTGTACTACCAGCTGGAGAAAGCGCATTTGTATGGAAAACCAAAAAAGGACCCCCCCCCCCCAATGTTGTGCTTGGCAAGGTCTACAAAATGCAATAAACAAGATTTTCAATTTTTTTGCTGAAATTAACATTTAAAACAAAATCATGGGGAAAAGTGTGGTTCATGGCAAAAAGTAGGTCTAAGGTCAATTTCAATATCACAGTTAGATTGCAAGTATATGACTTCTTATTCAAGCTCAATAATGGGCATATCTCGGCCAGTTTTGAAGATACAAGTGACTAAAATGGGTGTATCTTTACTAATTTTGGAGTTGCGGTAATGCACCATGAATTCTGTACAGAAGAAATTAATTGAAATAAAGAACAGATCATTTTGGTCGAAGTTCATGAAATGGGAGGTGATCAGAAATTCCAAATGTTCAAATTTCATGAAATTCTGTCATTTTATGACTGGAAGTTGTCTGTCCCTAGCTTAGCCTTATTTTTTTATATTCCCCAACGTTCAAAATTACATGGCAAATTACCGTATTTCATATTTTATTTTCACTACCATATTGTACTATTTGATAAAGCACAACTCTATACCATATGGAAAACAAAACACGGACATCTCCTCCAGTGTTGACAAGCTATACAAAATGCAAAAAAAACAAAAGGTCTCTAGCATTTATGGTTCCAGAATTAGCTCTAGAGAGTTCTTAGTTTCGGCATCTAATGGCCGCTACACCCGTGAAAATGCACCAATTGACCCCAAACTCACGAATATGAAAGATGACCCTAAGGGTAACACATGCCAATAATATTATGGGGAAGGTCTGTGTATTTTCTGAAAATCGGCAGAAATAAACATTTTTTTTTTACAAAAAATTCCCATTTTTAGAAAATTTTGGCCTATTTGACCTTGAATAAAAGGTCAAATCCAAGGGCACATTTGAAATCTTTACGCCTACACTGGTGGTGCATTTATATGGAAAAGTTGTACTCATATTCAGCTGGAATTTTTCACACTTAACTAACAAATACCATATTTCAGCACTTGGTGTTAAATGACATTGTGGCTGTTAATACTTCACTACTATCCATGATGAAAATGAGGAGAGGTACCTTTTAAATTTCAGGACAACAAAAAGAATCCATCTCCATTATATCACCATTTTACATGAAAATAGAAGAAAATTCTAAATGTAACTTATGATGGCAATGCATGATGGATATGAATCCCAATTATTGGGCTATAAACTTGCATTTATACATATTTTCTCATTAAAATCTCAACATTCTTCAAAATTCACGACATATTTTAAAATATCTTAGGAATTTTAGGAATTAAAAGGAATTTGAAGAAAATATAGGAATTTTATGAACCAAGTTAAAACTTTAGGAACACCAGACACCCTGCAGTAATGACACTGTTTAATTCTCCTTATACATGTACAATGTTTAGCACGAGTTCCGATTCATACAGTTCTTCTTGTTTATTTGTGACTCTACCAATGTTATCTGCCTTGCTGGCAGGTTGCTAGACAGAGGTTAACTATTACTTATTATAATTAGATCATTTTTCAAACTAAGGCTGCAGTATCAATTCAGACAATGGTTTTCAACAGATCATCTGGTATTCCAGAACCATTTAGAGTGCAAAGGTCACTGTAGTAGTAACTCTTACTTATGTTATGTAAACACTTACTTATGTATCGATGTCAATTGAATATTATGTTGCTTGGGAGATAAACTGTAATGCCTCTCCACAGTCTCATCTTTTTGAAAGTGCGTCTTTATGTTTGCTTGGAAAATAAGCCAGTAATGTCTCTCCACAGTCTCATCTTTGACCCCATTCCCATAGATTTTAGATCAATCTATTCCTGTGGGGTGTCTCACTAGATTACTGTCAGCTTAGCCGGCTTAAGTGTCTGTCCCGCCTACTAAAAGCTGTAAGGGGGTAATTAACTATGGTGCGCGCTCGGCTGACTGCAATTTAGTGTGAACCCCAGGGAGTTAGGTCAATCTAAATCTTAATCTCTGGATCAATCTAAATCTCTGGGAATGCACCCTTTATAACAAGAGCGCCCTTTCACATGTGACTGAGAATCCTATCTTAAGTATGTTACTAATCTTACTTGGGTTTACAAGTGTTGTCAAGGTGTTTGTTTCCTGTACGAGATGGAGGCACAAGACTACACCTCCCAGAAACCAAGGAAGAGTACAAGTGATTCTATGTTACTCGTTTTTATTTACATCAGTCAAGGATGGTAAATTGGGTTATTGTTAAAACATACATTGTCAAACTCACATTAACAGGATTACCTTGATATAGGCATTTTGGCAGGGTGCAGCGCTGTCTCCTGGAACGAGTGCACTGCTTCATCTTGTTGGAACACAACCAAAGCATATTGACTGTCCTTTTATGAAAAGAAAAAAAATAATAATAGAAGTTACTAGAGGATCAGAGAGGCAGTACTGCCTCCGGGTATTGTACCACCAGCTGGAGTAAGCGCATTCGTAAGGAATAGCAAAAATAGGGACATCACCTCCAGTGTTGTGCTTGACAAGCTCTACAAAATGCAGTAAACAAATGTTCTCAATTTTTTTGTTGAAAATTACCATTTAAAACAAAATCATGGGTAAAATGTTTTATTCCAAATTTGTGAAGTGCGGTTCATGCCGAAAAGTAGGTCAAAGGTCAATTTCAAGATCACAGTTATATTGCCAGTATATGACTGCCTATTCAAGTTCAATAGTAACTATGGGCATATCACGCTAGGTTTGGGGATATAATGGATACGGTAAAGTCTTGAAAATTTCGACGTTCTTGATAATTTCATCGAGAGGCGATTTTCCGCCGACGTAATTTTTTTCACTTTGAAAATTTCGTCGAACCTGAAAATGAGCCTATCGATAATATTTGAAAAGCTCGTCACCTAATATGGCCGCGTTGTAAAGCTCAAACATGTAGTTAATGCATCAGTTGATTCAAGACAATAATACGCTCAGGATATCATTGACGATAACACTCTCAATGGGAGATAGGAACAATAGTGCGCCCATGCAAGCGGCTACTCACGAGAATCGTTCGCGTAATATCCTCAGGACTTTGTTCGCGTAAGATCATCAGAGGGGGATCGTTTGCGATCCTAGCTAGACGAAAAGGAAATTTTCATATCTTCATCGGGAGATTGTTAAGCAATAAGCAATAATAAAATGCACTTTTCATATTAGTTCAAGGAACTTAGTTTGCGGAAGATCGTCAGCGGGAGATCATTATTTCCCCCCCCCCCCCATCCCCCGCTCACGGCACTTGGAAAAGTTGGACTCCCTGTAAATTTTTAAGGAAGTTACAGATGGTAGTTTTAGAAGGCCTGACACTCAATTCTGGGAAAAGCCCTGCATGCGACAAACGTTGCCAAGTGCGTAATTTTTTAATATGCCGCGTCAAGTTTATGATGCAAGGTTGCAATTAGGCTTATCTTGATCCTTCTCCTATATCAGGAGGTATGTTTCTTACCGAAAAGATAATTCTAAGTTGACATATTTTCGGGTACAGTAAATTAAATATGACTTAATCAAGATGCAATAATAAATAGATTATTATTTACCACCAGAAAATGACTTAGGAAGTAGTAATAAATATCCCACAATATAGAAGGGTCAAAGATAACAGCCGCTAAGGATAAAAGCCCAAAGGCCAGATTTTTGAAAATTTCGTCATACCCCGAAGTCGTGGAGAGGTAACTTTGAAAGATTAGTCGGATTTACACAATTAAAAATATAAATTAATTTTTAAGCGACAAAATTTTCAAGACTTTACCGTAGACAAGTTGCAAAGTTCAGTTCATGGTGAATAGTAGGCCAAAGGTCGATTTTAAGGTCACAGTTAGATTGTCAGTATATGACTTCCTATTCAAGTTCAATAGCAACTATGGGGCCCGTTTCACGAAGCAACAAGAAAACTTTAGGGGTGTTTCATGAAGCAGTCGTTAACTCATCGCTAAGTTCAGTCGTAAAGTTCGGTCGTTAGTTCTCTCGTTACTCACCGTAGTCTCGAAACAGTTTACCGGAAGTGGAACTCTTGCGTAAAAGTGTCGCGAAAGCTCTAACTCTCCAATTTCCGGCAGCTGGAAATGCATAAGAATGCTGCTTTGAGGTCGTCGTAAAGGATCTCCACCACCTTTTTGCCGCTCTTTTTGTCACAGCTAGGCGCAACCTCTCGTAAATTGCATCATCGCGTGTATATTCTAATAGATTCTGCCTACCATGAAAACGTCGTAGTCTACGTTGCCGTCTGGCAGTACGGATAGCAAGAAAGGTCGTTGCCATATTGGATACAAAGACAAATGACAGACAACGGTAACTAAGCAACCTTTCTATTTCATTCATTACGCATGCGTACGATGAAACTCTAGAGTTAGCGACTGGTCTCACCAGTCGCTAAATATCCATAGTAACGACACAATAAAGAGCGAGAGAACTAGCGATAGCTTCGTGAAACGGCACTCATAACTAGCGAGAGGCTAACTACCGATCTCTAACTAACTACTGCTTCGTGAAACCGGCCCATAGGCTTTTCACTGCCAGTTTTGGAGATAAAAGGGATGGACACCTTGCAAAGTTAGTTCCTGGTGAAAAGTAGGTCAAAGGTCAATTTTAAGGTTGGATTGCCAGTATATATCTTCCTATTCAAGTTCATTAGTAACTATGGAAGTATCTCTCTCAGTTTTGGAGATATAAGTAGGCCAAAGGTCAATTTCAAGGTCACATTTAGATTACCGGTATTTGACTTCCTATCCAACCTCAATAGTAACTAAGGGCCAGTTTTGAAGATATAAGGGACTTGAATGTTGCAAAGTTCAGTTCATGATGAAAATTAGGTCAAAGATCAATTTCAAGGTCAAAGTTAGATTATCAGTATATGACTTCCTATTCAAGTTCAATAGTAACAATGGGGGTATCTCTGCCAGTTTTGGAGATATAAGGGACGGAAAATTTGCAAAGTTCAGTTCACAGTAAATAGCAGGTCAAAAGCCAATATCAAGGTCACAGTTAGGTTGCCAGTATACGACTTCCTATTCAAGTTCAATAGTAACTATGGGCCTATCTCTGCTAATTTTAGAATATTTCACATTTTATTTTCACCAATGAATATTGCAACATCATACATTTTGATACAGCACAACTCCTAAACCATATTGAAAACAAAAAACGGACACCACCCCCAGTATTGCACTTGAAAAATTCTACAAAATGCAAAAATTCAGAGGTCTACAGCATTTACGGTTCAAGAATTAGGGAGAGATTTCAGTTTTGGTATCTAATGGCTGCTTCTCCAGTGAAAATGCACTGACTGACCCCAAAAATGAAAGGAGTCCCTAATTGTAACCCCCCCCCCCCCCTGTAATATGAGAGCCTCGGTGTGTGTAGTTTCTGAAAATTGGCACAAACAAATTTTTTTTTTTTTTTTTTTGCAAAAAATTCCCATTTTTCGAAAATTTTGGCCTGTTTGACGTTGAAATAAAGGTCAAAGGTCAAATCCAAGGGCATATTTGGAATCTTCACATATGACTTTCGGTCAGACTTCTATAGTAGTTTTTCCCATAATTCCCTCGGTTTGGGAGATATTTGGCATTGAATTTTCAAAAATTTTGACAAGGGTGCGTTTCAACGAGCATCACGCCCAGGCAAATGCACCGACTGAGATAAAAAACCAGGGGCTTTAAGTTGAGATTATATGTGACCTAAATCCAAGAGATGGGGACACGAGTTCTTGTTGTCTAAGAGGAGAAGCAGTAACGGTGACTTGTATCCGGCGCCAGAACGCGGGGCCAGCAGAGCAAACGGAGCCGCACGAGACAGATCGGGACTAAAACCATGAGTATCGCCAGCGTAAACACTGGTGGTACTAATAATAATACTGCAAGAACTCTCGATGAGAGAAATGGACATCTTTTTATGTATTATCATTTTTGCATTCCAAAATAAAATAAAAGGGCACTCTTTTAGATTAGAAGTTTTTTTGTTTTTTTTTTTTACCTTTTTATCAATGGGGATATAATGGGCCAGTTCCCCAAATGTCTGTAGATGGTAATAGAGCTTAGAATGTGTTTCTTTATCCAAATTAAAAGAAAATAGAAGGCTTCTGCGTGCTATTTCATCCCACTGTCCAAGTTGCCCTTCATAATCAAGGCCTGTGGTACCAATTTCTGGCTTGACATCTGAAAGTTCCAAATAAAGGATTTATTAAACACTTAATCCCAATCTGTACTCATTGTGAATAAAGCACCCCAGTTTTTCAACCATCCCTTCACTTCCTTTTCAGGTACTGGGCCATTACTGTTGAGTCAGTGATCAGTTTTCTGTACAAATGTTAGTTCTAGATGCTAGTGCTAGAGATGGAAAAATCTGCTTAACACTTAATTTGCAGGTGTATAAATATACCAATTTTTAAAATTAGTTTTTCATTTAACTTTTCAATGTCTTTGACATATGAAATAACAGCAAATTTCCACCGCAGCTAACTGCACAGAAATTCATCCATAAGCACTCCTAATTACAGAAACTGTATGTGATATATACTGTTGTGCTAACACATGTATGATGGGAAAACTGGTTGAATATTCAATTTTTTTTTCATTTTTTTAACCCAACAATTTACCATCAAACTTTCAAATATTTTCAATATATTCTTCATAAATTATACTAAAAGTATATATGTTAAAATGATCACCAAATATCAAATAAATAGTTTTTTTAGGGGGGGAGTCATTGGGTGGTAAAATACACATTTTTAATTTTCTTATTTTCTCATGAAAATTTTTCACCTGCAAACTAACAAAAAGTGCCAATGTATCCTCCATTATGCATACTACAAAGTCACACACTCAAATGAAATAAAATTTATAAAGCTTTGTGTGATGGGAATCAAAATTTCATGGGGGTAGTCATATTTACCTCCGCCAATGCAAGGAGGTTATGTTTTCACCCCTGTCTGTCTGTCTGTTTGTCATCAACATAACTCAAAAAGTAATGGATGTATTTCAATGGAATTTTCAGGGTAGGTCAGAAATGGGTTAACTTGGTGGTGATCTGGATCAATAATCATTCAATAATAAAAAATCAAAAAACTAAGTTATGGACCGATTTTGATGAAATTTTCAGGAACTGTCAGAAGTGGGCCAAGGAACAGATGAGGAACATTATGAAATTTCGACTGGGGAAGTCAGATTTTCATGTTACACCAGACTGGTATATGAACCAAGTATATGTTGTCAGGCTTCTGCAACATAGTTATTACATGTACTACATTAAAATTACAAGGAGGGTAATGGCAATAGGAAAAAGTACATGCAGCATAGGTCCCATATCATTCAAAAATGACAGGAAAAAGAAAAAGTTATACAACTGACATGTTATTGTACAATATGACACTAACCACGCTTTTGCATTGGAATTCTGATCAATTTAAACCACTGCAAAGTAACAAAAGTATTTTTATTTGCAGCAATTTCTAGCAATTCTGATATCATATTAGTGCTCACTACTTCAATGAATCTCTCTGCCTATAGACACTAATCATATTTTGTTATAATGTTCTCGATTAGTGCTTACTACTTCAATGAATCTCTCTGCCTATGTTTTATCTTGTCTCCTTGGTATAGTACATTTTACATGTTACCAGCTTCTGCTGGAAGCAAAAAAGGTCAAATATCCAGGTCACATAGTCCAAATGCCTCCTAATACATTCTTGCTGCATCGGATTGAAGTGTTTCCCTTACATTCAAACAACATTAAGGCTTTTGAATAAAACAGAAAGGGCAGGTGGTCAGAAAAGTTATTGTCTAGCCCTGTGGCTACGCTGTTTCTTTTACAGTATTTGGCATGCATTTCTTTCAAACGTTAGCACAACTGTTTAAAGTACACATGAAATACTGTATCAGGAAATGTTAACGACTAAATTTTCGGAATTACCGAGCGACCCATGCAGGCCTTGGTTTTCAATACTTGTCAATAGAGTTTTGAATGAGCATTACGTACATTTCATGTCAAAACATAGAACAATTTCCAAATGATAACCAAAATTCATTTATCTAAATAGCAGAGACACTGCTCGAAGTGACCAAATAATTTCATAATGAAAAGATTTTGAAAATCAAAAATGAATATTAGTGGGTTACTGCAAATTTGCAGGAATCAAATTGCTCAAACCTGCATCTTCTTCTAGTTTTGGTACTGAATCCAGTACAGAAGAAGTCGCCTCTATTCTGGGACCTTCATTTAAGAATCGGCGAAAGTTTATTGTCCACAACTTTGGAGACCGAATGATGGCTGACCGCATTATCGATACCATGTTCATCATGTTCGGTCAGTGAATTTGCCATGCGGATGAACCAAAGATGCTATAGGTGGCAGTACACGCCAAGACAGACCAGTGCCACAGTTGGACTCCTCTTTTCCCTGTCTTTACCGTCGATTTTCTCTCCCCCTCGCCCACGTTCACCTAGCACCTTGATTGATTAATGACCCTTAACACCACAGAAAACACCACACTAGATTTTGATTTTTAATCTCACAGGTATCTTTTCTCCGATATTTTGTAACAGACTAAAAGCGACACCTGTGATCAGAGCTGTGTATATCGTTCTTGGTGTTTTTTATGTACAGACACAGATGTGTCTGTACATATTGCCATCATCTGCGTCTGTCGTCGCCGTCGCTGTCGCCGTCGCTGTCGCCGTCGCCGTCGCTGTTGGCGTGCACTTTAACCGTAAACACGATAAGTGAAAAACCGTTTTACCTTTTGGCTGGAAAGTTACAGAACTGATGAATATTCATAATACGCCGGTCAAGTTTGAAAATCAGCATGATCGGGCTATTTTTAGGGAAGTTATGCTGTTTTTTCAATTTTTTCAGCATATATGCAACACCGTAAACACGATAAGTGGAAAACCGTTTTACTTTTTGGCTGGAAAGTTACAGAACTGATGAATATTCATAATATGCTGGTCAAGTTCGAAAATCAGCATGATGGGGCTATTTTAAGGGAAGTTATGCTGTTTTTTCAATTTTTTCAGCATATATGCAACACCGTAAACACGATAAGTGGAAAACCGTTGTACTTTTTGGCTTGAAAGTTACAGAACTGATGAATATTCATAATACGCTGGTCAAGTTCGAAAATCAGCATGATCGGGCTATTTTAAGGGAAGTTATGCTGTTTTTCAATTTTTTCAGCATATATGCAACACCGTAAACACAATAAGTGGAAAACCGTTTTACTTTTTGGCTTGAAAGTTACAGAAATGATGAATATTCATAATATGCTGGTCAAGTTCGAAAATCAGCATAATCGGGGTATATTTAGGGAAGTTATGCTGTTTTTTCAATTTTTTCAGCATATATGCAACACCATAAACACGATTAGTGAAAAACCCTTTTACCTTTTGGCTTGAAAGTTACAGAACTGATGAATATTCATAATATGTCGGTCAAGTTCGAAAATCAGCATGATAGAGCCACTTTTATGTAAGTTATGCTGTTTTTTTTTATTTTTTTCAGCATATATATGCAACACTGATAACACAATATAAGAAAAACAGATATGCCAATTGTCATTGTACTCACAGGAGTGGTCAATCTTACTAAAACATAGGTTGAGTATGAAAATAAGCATAATCGGGCCATTATTTTATAAGTAATGCTTTTTTTCACATTTCCTCAGATTCAATTCTTAGGTATGTTAATAGTCTCATTATTGAACTAATAAGATACGTAAAAGTGTTTGTTTGACATTACCTGCATCTTTACAACATTGTCAGTTGATTATGTAAAAATGATGGTAAATTTGTTATCGTGTATTGTGTAATGAAGTGTCAAAAATGGAAATAAACACATATCATTGCAGTTTGTCAGATTCAATCATCCACTATGTTCAGAATCTTAGAATGGAGGAAATTGGACATTTAACACTGTTCTATTGGTATATTTCCCATCTCATCAATTTTCTTAGTTGGTCATTTAAAAATGGCAGTAAATTGTTAATTTTGTTTTATGTTAAAAAAGTGTTAAAAATGGAAATGAACCCATTTCAGAAAAGTGCTGTCTTGTTTACATTTTGGCATTTTCAAGATGTGACTTTGAAGTTCCATGGTCCTGAAGACCTTTGCTAGTCACATTTTCTGAATATCCATGATACTAATATTTTATTATTAAAAATTGACGG